CTATAACTGTTGGAACGGCAAGACAACAGCACTGACATGGTTTGCTAAAATTGTAATTAATCGTGTAGTGGTTGCGTATTGTTAGTGCTTGAAAATACAAACGTTGTGCTTTATGATATTTAACACTTTCTGATCGTTACACTATAAGTATAACTAAGTTACGATGTACGAGATATCGATAAAACATACAAGATGATGCATGTTCCAGGGTGTTCGGTTTGATAGAAGTTGTTTCCTTTGTTAAATACAGGCAAACAGAGGAAATTGTACCGGCTCTTATTTCCTTCTTTGCCTTCTGGCTCACTCTATTCGGATTACAGGTAATTTTTGGAAACAAGAAAGTGTCCTCTGCTTCATACAAGTCAGCCTAAAATTGATAAAATATGCTTGCCTATGTAATTAATTTGACTCGCATCAACGTAACGTGAATTATTATTTCAGCATGCACCGTTCTTCTGCCACTACCGCACTCAGACTGGATTCGTTGTGGGAAGCATAGTTCATCTTTAATTGATGTTGGACTCTCCGTTATTTACATGAGCTGGTGTAAAAGCAAGATCGACAAAAATGTCAAGAAATAGTTACTTTGAATAGCAGATTCATACATTGACTTTGATCGTGTGAAATGTGAACTTATGATTTATGTTAGGGGTCGTTCACATATTAGTATTATGTAATCACTTTTTGGACAATTTTTAATCCCCCATCCCCCCTCCGTAATCAGTTTTTGGCTTTACACATAGCTATTGTCAATTGTGTCAAAATTACGATAGCGTAATTATATGGAAATTAATAGCGTCATATAACAGAAGCTGGTGGATGACCGACCATGTTTTATGCATACGTCATTCTAATTATGTACGCAAACATGCATGATCCAGACGATCGCATGCAACATGTATGTGGTATGATGTAGCTCGGATCGCGTCGATTCACGTGCGTTATCGCGCGATCGAGCGCTACATGGAAATCATAATATTGTCTTGGCGCGTTACAAAAAGCACACCAGACAGAGCCTAAAATCAAGCGTTTTATGCAATTACGCAGACTAATTTCTTGTACATAGATTCTACTATAGTAAGGGGAAAAGTGGCATTCCGTTGGATTCGAATGTTCACAAGGATTTCTCAACGGAATATGGTAGTTAGGACCCCTACGAACATAATTAGACTTGTTGCCAATTTTGTATCTCAACGGAAACACCACTTTTACCACTTTTTACCACCTTTGTACCACCTTTCTGGTTTGCCAAATATCTTTAGTTGTGAACATCATAGAAGGCTGAAAATTAACCTAGAATGTTTATCTTATCAAGGAGTAAAACTTTTGTATCAAAAATTTTTACATTGGACAATCAGCTAATTGGATAATTACCAATTAGTTAATCACCAAAAAAAGTGAAAATTTTTTATTGGCTCAAAATGATTGAAATCGTTTGAAACACGGAGAAATGTAGTTTTTAGAAAAACTTCAAAAATTTTTCACTTAAAATTTTTTTTCGAGACTTCAAAAAAAAGTTTGAAAATTTGAAAATATTTTTTTCCGCCAGAAGTGATCGAATTACATGAAACGTGGATAAAAATGCTTTGCAGAAAAAATTCGAAGATTTTTAGATTGGGGAATACTAAAACTCTAAAATCATCAATATTTGAAGTTGGAGTTCAGTAAATCTCGACATATTTTAGTAATTAGGAATAGCTTAGCGGAAAGGGCTGGACCTGAAAAAGGTTAACCACACAATATTAGAGTTTCATAACTAATTACAATACAGCTTTATCAAATTCCACATAAAGAAACATCACAAAAGGACCATTTAAGATCGAACCGATTTTACCTGCTGTACTATCATTTTATTGATTTCAATGATCAAAACCTCTGTCAATCTTGCCAATCTATACCGGGTATCTGAATGTACCGGACCTCTTATTTACCTCTATAATTAGACCCAGTTGTGCAAGAAATGCGATTTCTCACAGGGGTTTCTTTAAACTGTGCACTTTTTGTCACTCTCGCAACTCGCAAGAGGCCTGGTATTATAAGGGGGGGGGGGGGGGGGGGGGGGGGGGGGAATAACCCCATATGTCATTGCCAGGGTCGGGATAGAGCTGGAGATAGCATTGAAAAGTTGCTAGAAATAGCTAGATTTAGAGTAAACTGGTGGTAGCTGGGTGGTGCTAGCATGGATGTAGCAGAACGTAGCTACACGGGGTTTCATTGGAGTTGGTTATTTTAATGGCCAAAGAGTGCCGGAACTAAAGTTACTTAAGATTGCAGTTTAGGGGCAGTGTAAACCACGGTGTAGTCAGGGACACAGAGCTACAGTGCAGGAGTACTGTAAAATAACAGTGCAAGTGATACAGTCTGCAACAGTAAAACTCCGAAGAAGGAGATAAGATTGTGGCTGCAGAGGAGGAGAGTAGCTGGAACCTGATTGTGTTTGTGTTGAAAGAAGAGGAGGAAGAAGAGTTTCCTGCTTTGGTAACTGTATTTTTGGAAGAGGTGGGGTGAGAACTTATTTTCAAGCGACATAACAAGGGTGGGCTGGAAGCAACCAGATACAGCTATCCGACCTATTAAGATCACCGTCCTGAGCTTAACAGCATTTCATCAGAATCTTATGAAAACAGAGAGACTGACCCACCCTTTTTAGATCCAACGAAACCCTTTATATAAATCGACTTTTCTGCATGAATTACTTCATGGTATCTTCTTATCAAGGCTATAGACCTTGCCGTACCGGATTTATTGATCAAAGTGAGTCTCTTTAGCCCTCTTCTTGTTTAGAGCTTTAGGTAAGTGATCAAACTCTTCGCTACTCGCTCTTCACTGGATCTATCAGGACAGATTCACATCTTTTTAGGTCTCAACCAGCCTTAGTTTTCCTGTTTTCATCATGTAGTACGTTCTGCTACCTCCATTTTAGCACCACCCAGCTTCCATCAGTTCACTCTAAGTCTAGCTTCGTCGGCGTTTTACTGTTGCAGACTGTATCACTTGCACTGTTCTATTGCAGTACTCCTGCACTGTAGCTCTGTGTCCCTGACTACACCGTGGTTTACACTGCCCCTAAACTGCAATCTTAAGTAACTTTAGTTCCGGCACTCTTTGGCCATTAAAATAACCAACTCCAATGAAACCCCGTGTAGCTACGTTCTGCTACATCCATGCTAGCACCACCCAGCTACCACCAGTTTACTCTAAATCTAGCTATTTCTAGCAACTTTTCAATGCTATCTCCAGCTCTATCCCGACCCTGGCAATGACATATGGGGGTTATTCGAGGTATATGGCATAGCAAACGAAGCGGCATGCGCATTCACAATACAAAAAAGCCACAATGGATGATGGAAGGTATATTTACACTCGCTTCCTATACCCCCCCCCCCCCCCCCCCCCCCCCCCCCTATAATACCAGGCCTCTTGCGAGTTGCGAGAGTGATAAAAAGTGCACAGTTTAAAGAAACCCCTGTGAGAAATCGCATTTCTTGCACAACTGGGTCTAATTATAGAGGTAAATAAGAGGTCCGGTACATTCAGATACCCGGTATAGATTGGCAAGATTGACAGAGGTTTTGATCATTGAAATCAATAAAATGATAGTACAGCAGGTAAAATCGGTTCGATCTTAAATGGTCCTTTTGTGCTGTTTCTTTATGTGGAATTTGATAAAGCTGTATTGTAATTAGTTACGAAACTCTAATATTGTGTGGTTAACCTTTTTCAGGTCCAGCCCTTTCCGCTAAGCTATTCCTAATTACTAAAATATGTCGAGATTTACTGAACTCCAACTTCAAATATTGATGATTTTAGTATTCCTCAATCTAAAAATCTTCGAAATTTTTCTGCAAGGCATTTTTATCCACGTTTCATGCAATTCGATCACTTTTGGCGGAAAAAAATATTTTCAAATTTTCAAACTTTTTTTTTGAAGTCTCGAAAAAAAATTTTAAGTGAAAAATTTTTGAAGTTTTTCTAAAAACTACATTTCTCCGTGTTTCAAACGATTTCAATCATTTTGAGCCAATAAAAAATTTTCACTTTTTTTGGTGATTAACTAATTGGTAATTATCCAATTAACTGATTGTCCAATGTAAAAATTTTTGATACAAAAGTTTTACTCCTTGATAAGATAAACATTCTAGGTTAATTTTCAGCCTTCTACGACGTTCACAACTAAAGATATTTGGCAAACCAGAAAAGTGGTACAAAGGTGGTAAAAAGTGGTAAAAGTGGTGTTTCTGTTGAGATACAAAATTGGCAACAAGTCTAATTATGTTCGTAGGGGTCCTAACTACCATATTCCGTTGAGAAATCCTTGTGAACATTCAAATCCAACGGAACCCTTAAATCGACCACTTTTCCCCTTACTACTAGAAGACGTAAGATTTCCTTTAAACTTGACAGATAGCTTTAAGACGGATAATCTGATAGTGATACAGCAGGGTGTCATAATTATTGGCGTGTTTGGAATTTTATGTGTATTTTATGATGAAATCAATATTTTTCAATGAGTCATAACTTTACTTCTGAATGCCGAAATTACGAAATTCAAAAACTGGTCTGTAGACAATCGTTTGAACTTTTTCTGAATTTCAGAATTTTGTGTTGATGTACCTCACTTCGAACACAAGAAAATATATTCATGGTGTGGTGCGACTAACGGAAGATTATCTCCAAATTCCTCAGATGCGATTTTCAGACAGTAAGATGAGTACAAGGCTGATAATCTGTGCAAGTTTGGACGAATTTCTACGAGCCAAATTTGAGATATTACTTGAAACACAAGAAAATGTCTCTAAATCAAATTTTAAGTGATATCTCGACTTAATATAATTGACTCGAAGAAATGAAGAGCGGAAACTCCAACTCGCCCTAAATTGAGGAGACACTGGACAGTGGACACAAACTGACTGAGCCAGGAGGTCACGGGACATGGTATCTGAAATAATCGTATTTTGGATCTTAAAATCGAGTTTTGAAGCTGTAGTGGAACGATAACATATTTGTCAAACTTAAAAAAGGGACACTAGGTTCAATACAAATCGCAGCACTATAAAATGGAAATGTACACTTTTAAATACTTATAACTTAACTACAGTGAAACTTTGGCCGGTTAGATCCGGACAGAGAATAGAGATTATTTTTTTGAAAATAAGTTAGTCTGGATATTAAAGGAATAAGGAATTGGGATGCTCATTGCTCAATATCATATATGAATATGATGCTTAATATAATGATTAATTTCACTATCACGCCTGACGGCTGACGTAGAAGTCACACATCCCGGCTATGTTCTAATTATACATAATAAACGGTGGAAACTGAAATCTCGGTTTCGACTGCATTTCGACGGGACTATTAACAAATCTTTAACGTTTGGTCCGGAATCCAGAGTTTCACTGTAGACTATTTTAACTTGACGCAAAAACCCAATCATATAACTTTGCACAAAGAAACCTAAAAAACAACTCATTAAAAAGCAAAGCATGCTAAAACTAAAACAATAGACACTGGTGGGAGATAAAACATATTATGTGACACGTGACAGTGATATTGGGGTTTGATTGGTCAATGATGGCAGCTGACTGGTAAATATATGGCACGTGTCAGAACAAATATGTTTCGGCTCCCAACCAGTATCCCTATCTATAATAATCATGCGGCATATTCTTTGAATGAAAATATACCTAAATAAAATGCTCGTTAGACTTTTAATTAAAAATGTTCAAAACCTCTATGTTAAAATGTCCGAAACCTCTATGTTAAAATGTCCACCGTTTCGAACTCTAAAAATAGATTCATCCCAAAACACGGTCCCTAGGGAACTAGTGGAAACCATTGGTAAGGGGTACTTTAGGTGGTGTTTCCTCTGAGCCTTCGTTCATAAGGTAGTGTACAATATCACTTCTGCTCAGTATACCAAATACGATCTGCTTCTCTGTGTGGACACCGTCATCGTCATCTGAATACAATATTATATATCATATTATTATTGTTTTCTTGGGTATGTTTCTATTGATCCCGTCTGATGCGACAAGGAAAAGGCTCCTTGTCGCATCAAACGGGATCAACAGAAATTTACCCAAGAAAACATTTCAACTATGCGACTCATAAATAATATTCCAATCCGGATTTTACACATTATTATTACTATTATATTATAATGCAAATGGTTAACAATAATTAGTGTTCATTTTACTAGAGTATCATCTATTCCATCTCAATCAGTACTTATTTCAAGCATTTTATTTTCCCGTCGAACATTCCATCTATCATTATGACAAACCGCAATATTAGGTAAAGTTATTTCTGATTTCAAGCAATATTGTGTAACATTTACACGTCTAATTATATCAGGGTATCAAGTTGATTGAGTTTAGTATCCAAATTCCATCCAAATATTAACTTAACGGGTGTAACGGGTTTTGGTAGCACCTTTAAAACACGTTCAATGCTTTCACACAGATTTATATGTTCACAAGGGTAGGAATAATTGTAACGTATAAATTGCCTCTTAAACACAGTACGCAGTGCTAGTATACTGGGCTACTGGCATTAGTTGCCGTATCGTGAATTGAAATGCCCCAAAATGTCGATATAGATCTTTTTCATGAATTCCTTAAATTTTATTAGAATTTCCAACTGTACTGGCCGTTCACCAGAATAATCATTTATTAATTTGTCAGTTATTACTCGAACTAACGTTTTTGATATTTACCATAATATTTTGAAATGAACTAAAAACCACACCAAACTAAAACCACACCAAGCTTATATCTGGAGATGAGAAATTTACCATATTATTATTCATACTGCATACTTTATTAGGTACAAATAAAGTGAATTTATTGCAAATGTAGTGCAAATGTAGTGCAAATGTAGTGCAAATATAGTGCAAATATAGTGCAAATATAGTGCAAATATAGTGCAAATATAGTGCAAATATAGTGCAAATATAGTGCAAATATAGTGCAAATATAGTGCAAATATAGTGTATTTAGTGCAGTCAAACATCACCCAATTCGAAAAATGTATGAAAAGATTTGAGGGTTAAATGAAAATATTGAGATAAAATTGAAAATTATGTGCTTTTTGGTGAACTCCGAGAGTCTCAGTAAAATAATAAAAGGATGATGCTTTGCTGTTATGATTGAAATTAAAATGCATTGAAAAAAAGTTTAGAATGGCAAAAAAAGGTCATTTGATTGTGCATATATAACATGTTCCGTATCATCACATTTTCGCCATAATTCATTTAAGTGCTGTAAAAATCAGACTCAGAATATATAGATCACTGCAAACATACACTAATATATAACACACGCACACATAAATCAGCAAACCAGCACATTTTCAGTTTTTTAAAGTGAAACATCAGCTTTTAAAGTGAAACATCAGCTTTCACAAAAAAAGTGAAACATACTCAGATCACGGCATCACGACTCATTATCACATGACTTTAAACTTTCGACATCTGATCCGACGGTTTTATCATCTGATACCCCGTTGGTATAAAGGTGAGGTCCAGCTATGATGTAAGCTAACAGGTGGGAGGCGGTGACAGTACCAATGTACATTTCACGTGGTGCAGGTTTGCCGTCATCCTCGTCTGAAAATTACTACAAATGAACTCTTACATCTTACTATATATAAAGCGAGACGATATGTATATTAATAATATATATATATATATGTTTATCCGTACCATTTTACTGACGCCACGGCATCAACTTTAACGCGACTTTCCCTGATGCGGGACAGGGATATATGGAAGGGGTTATCTGGCGTAGATCGGACTTAGTTCCGACATATTAGTAGTAGTAGTAGTAGTTACATACTATAAAATTACATACTATTAACTTACATACTATTAACTTAGATACTAATAACTTACATACTGTAAACTTTTATTTCTCTAAAGTGATCGAAATAATAAATAAAAATGTAAATTATGGAAGTTTCGCTAAGAAAGTCTAATAGAACACTTCGTGAAATTTGATCAGAATAAAAATACAATTTTGAAGAATTTAATTATGACTCATCTTAGAGACCATCATGAGTCTATAAACTTACTACAAGCCAAACTCCTTATATTCTACAATATTGTTGTTTATCCATTTTAACTTGCTCCTAATACAAGTAGTCATGGTTTGTACGCATTGTCTGGGCGGCATGTCTGCAGCGAATTACGTCAAACAAATATATTTAACCAGCGCTTCTATGAAAATGTAATTCACTTCATTTCACGGGACAAATTAATGCCACATGTTTTTCTGAGAAATTGAGTTACCGAACTTATCAGTGTACATTTATGACTTAGCTGATTCTGGATAAAATAACGCTTTCAAGTCCGATCTCTGAATAATTAAGACAGGATTAATATTGAATTTGTCTGACCGCTAGAGGGAGTTAGTATAGTATTTCATACCCAATGCTCGGTGAGGATGACGTATTAAAAACCGGTTGGGTTATAAATACACCTGTGTAAGAGCAGGTTACACAGGTAACTAGAGTCTTTAGTCTCTAGGGGAAATAATAATCCTACCCTCTCTGCTCTACAATTGTTTCCTTTCATGGTAAACCTTCTAAGTTTTAATAGTTCTTTTTCTTAAGCTTACATCTTTTATACCAGAAGATATAAATGAGGTAAATAAATTACTCTGATGTTGTCTTTTCTTATTATTAAATAGTCAAAGATATCTTTTGAGACAAAAATGTAGGGGTACAAGTCCGGATGGTAGCAAAGAACCAAAAATGTAGGGGTACATTTTCCGGATGGTAGCAAAGAACCAAAAATGTAGGGGTACATTTTTCGGATGGTAGCAAAGAACCAAAAATGTAGGGGTACATTTTCCGGATGGTAGCAAAGAACCAAAAATGTAGGGGTACATTTTTCGGATGGTAGCAAAGAACCAAAAATGTAGGGGTACATTTTCCGGATGGTAGCAAAGAACCAAAAATGGTCCATCTTATTTTTAAAACACTCGATCAGACAGTAACCACGTAAATGTAGATAGAATAGTGATATAGGGTGATATAGGAACTAGTCATGAATTACACTTGAAGATTTGTGAAATGTTTGAAATTGTAGCTTCCACATTTCTTAGACCAGTTAAATTCGTTTACACACATAACAGCTAGTTTATAGAAAATGAAATTAACATCCTAACTCTAACTGGATTCCTCTCTTTTGTTGAAGCTCACTAATATTAATAATTTGACAAAAGTCTGAATACGTCTGTACCATATTATAAGCTACTAGCTACAAAGTGTTGCATATTTGTGAATACGTCTGTACCATATTATAAGCTACTAGCTACTAGGTGTTGCATATTTGTGAGGTGGTAAGAAACACGTGGACTCTACTTTATTTGAACCACGAACTAACAAACCTGAGAATGTTCACATTTAAGTTGGTTTGGTTATAATAAACCAGGATTACCATGTTTAATTATATTGCACAAAGAAAGTCCACTGAACTAAGCTAACGTTTTCTAACTGGCAAGCTTTCAGCAGGGTTATTGTTGACCATGCAATAATTACTATTAGTATAATAAATAAATAAATTCTAACATTTATTACACGCTTCGACATTAAAATATACCCGACAAAGATGTACATTTAAGTCATTCAAGCGAGACTTAGTGTTGAAATACCAAGATTATGGACTTTTTTATCAGTTCAGATTTTATGAACAAATATTTGTATGAAGTTACCAAAATTATTATGATTATAACTATGTATAATTAATATGATCATAATTAATGTAATAGCATAATTACTATTAGTATGATTGGTGTAATTTATAGTATTATAAGTATTACTCACAGTACTGCCACCCTTTGGTAACGATGACGAAGTGATCGTGGTCCAACATCTTAGAAACTACAGCCAGAGATGTATCCACAGAAACCTGCGAGAATTACGTCATGTTACGTCATACTACGCCATTTAACGTCATACTACACCATGTTACGTCATGATACGTACGCTTCTATTCTATAGTTAAAAGACTTAAAGTTGGCGGTTAATATCGACTACCGAGCAACATCTAGTTACTTCTGACAACGTGACGATGTAAACTGTAATTTCAAGTGGTATTATCAGACAACACCCAATCTTTCCGTTAGATAGTAATAACTTGGGTTTCCATTTCCGCCCTGACTCAATAATCCGAAAACCGTTCAGTACGAAGTCCCATTTATGTAGATTTATAATTTATATGGATTTAACCGTTGCAGATTGAGAAATGAGAATATAAAAACACAAATCATCAACATGCTGTGTGTCGAGTGAGCCCCAATGATATTACACATGATATTCCCGATCAATAGAACGGTCCTGTTCGACCTGTTAACACACTCAGCAGTGCACCGTGTTACTTTTAGGCGGCGGCGGTCTGGACGCCAAAATTGGTGGGCGGCGGCGGTATGACTATGAGATATCCAAACCGCGGTCTGTGAGGTGTACTGTGTACTGTGTACATTATGGTAATTTGGTTGTGTTACTGATGTATATGAATCGATTTCTTAATATCACTCTACATTGAAGAACTAATTTATCGTTAACAGAGATGTATTTGTTGATCTGATGGCCAATACCTCAAAGACCGCGGTCTGGGTCAAAATCTCGTGGCGGCGGTCTGGGACAAAATTTCGCGGCGGTGAATCGCGGTGGTGTACGTCTCTGACATTCAGAGTATTCATAGTTAGGGCTGGGATTATTTAAAACAAAATTCGTACTAATATTGTCACTGGTATTATTGTCACGATATTATTCTTGCAGTTTAAGAGAAAAACAAGCCAATCCTTTTAGAACGCAAGCGTCTTCTTTGTAACTCATAATGTGAATTGTGAGCTGTGGATCTAATTTCGGTAAAGTATCTAATCCAGTCCTTATCGCTGGCTAGAATTGATCACGTTATCAACCGACTATACCTTGTGACTACGACACACTGTAACCACGTGCCCGACAAACTAGTGCTGTACCATACCAACACAATATTCAATGTCTTGCGTCCTGTAAAATTGGCATAGCAAAGCATGATAATAGTAAGGGGAAAAGTGGTCGATTTAAGGGTTCCGTTGGATTTGAATGTTCACAAGGATTTCTTAACGGAATATGGTAGTTAGGACCCCTACGAACATAATTAGACTTGTTGCCAATTTTGTATCTCAACAGAAACACCACTTTTACCACTTTTTACCACCTTTGTACCACTTTTCTGGTTTGCCAAATATCTTTAGTTGTGAACGTCGTAGAAGGCTGAAAATTAACCTAGAATGTTTATCTTATCAAGGAGTAAAACTTTTGTATCAAAAATTGTTACATTGGACAATCACCTAATTGGATAATTACCAATTAGTTAATCACCAAAAAAAGTGAAAATTTTTTATTGGCTCAAAATGATTGAAATCGTTTGAAACACGGAGAAATGTAGTTTTTAGAAAAACTTCAAAAATTTTTCACTCAAAATTTTTTTTCGAGACTTCAAAAAAAAGTTTGAAAATTTGAAAATATTTTTTTCCGCCAAAAGTGATCGAATTGCATGAAACGTGGATAAAAATGCCTTGCAGAAAAATTTCGGAGATTTTTAGATTGAGGAATACTAAAATCATCAATATTTGAAGTTGGAGTTCAGTAAATCTCGACATATTTTAGTAATTAGGAATAGCTTAGCGGAAAGGACTGGACCTGAAAAAGGTTAACCACACAATATTAGAGTTTCATAACTAATTACAATACAGCTTTATCAAATTCCACATAAAGAAACAGCACAAAAGGACCATTTAAGATCGAACCGATTTTACCTGCTGTACTATCATTTTATTGATTTCAATGATCAAAACCTCTGTCAATCTTGCCAATCTATACCGGGTATCTGAATGTACCGGACCTCTTATTTACCTCTATAATTAGACCCAGTTGTGCAAGAAATGCGATTTCTCACAGGGGTTTCTTTAAACTGTGCACTTTTTATCACTCTCGCAACTCGCAAGAGGCCTGGTATTATAGGGGGGGTATAGGAAGCGAGTGTAAATATACCTTCCATCATCCATTGTGGCTTTTTTGTATTGTGAATGCGCATGCCGCTTCGTTTGCTATGCCATATACCTCGAATAACCCCCATATGTCATTGCCAGGGTCGGGATAGAGCTGGAGATAGCATTGAAAAGTTGCTAGAAATAGCTAGATTTAGAGTAAACTGGTGGTAGCTGGGTGGTGCTAGCATGGATGTAGCAGAACGTAGCTACACGGGGTTTCATTGGAGTTGGTTATTTTAATGGCCAAAGAGTGCCGGAACTAAAGTTACTTAAGATTGCAGTTTAGGGGCAGTGTAAACCACGGTGTAGTCAGGGACACAGAGCTACAGTGCAGGAGTACTGCAAAAGAACAGTGCAAGTGATACAGTCTGCAACAGTAAAACTCCGACGAAGCTAGACTTAGAGTGAACTGATGGAAGCTGGGTGGTGCTAAAATGGAGGTAGCAGAACGTACTACATGATGAAAACAGGAAAACTAAGGCTGGTTGAGACCTAAAAAGATGTGAATCTGTCCTGATAGATCCAGTGAAGAGCGAGTAGCGAAGAGTTTGATCACTAACCTAAAGCTCTAAAGAAGAAGAGGGCTAAAGAGACTCACTTTGATCAATAAATCCGGTACGGCAAGGTCTGTAGCCTTGATAAGAAGATACCATGAAGTAATTCATGCAGAAAAGTCGATTTATATAAAGGGTTTCGTTGGATCTAAAAAGGGTGGGTCAGTCTCTCTGTTTTCATAAGATTCTGATGAAATGCTGTTAAGCTCAGGACGGTGATCTTAATAGGTCGGATAGCTGTATCTGGTTGCTTCCAGCCCAACCTTGTCGCTTGAAAATAAGTTCTCACCCCACCTCTTCCAAAAATACAGTTACCAGAGCAGGAAACTCTTCTTCCTCCTCTTCTTTCAACACAAACACAATCAGGTTCCAGCTACTCTCCTCCTCTGCAGCCACAATCTTATCTCCTTCTTCGGAGTTTTACTGTTGCAGACTGTATCACTTGCACTGTTCTTTTGCAGTACTCCTGCACTGTAGCTCTGTGTCCCTGACTACACCGTGGTTTACACTGCCCCTAAACTGCAATCTTAAGTAACTTTAGTTCCGGCACTCTTTGGCCATTAAAATAACCAACTCCAATGAAACCCCGTGTAGCTACGTTCTGCTACATCCATGCTAGCACCACCCAGCTACCACCAGTTTACTCTAAATCTAGCTATTTCTAGCAACTTTTCAATGCTATCTCCAGCTCTATCCCGACCCTGGCAATGACATATGGGGGTTATTCGAGGTATATGGCATAGCAAACGAAGCGGCATGCGCATTCACAATACAAAAAAGCCACAATGGATGATGGAAGGTATATTTACACTCGCTTCCTATACCCCCCCTATAATACCAGGCCTCTTAGTTAGGGCAAGAATTGCTGTTTAAGGGTCAATCTGTGAACAAATTCGTAACAAAGGTTTGTCTACAGGAATGTGTTGTCCATAGTCCCAGGAACCACCAAAAAAAACCGTCCAGCTGAAACTTTTGGGCAAAAATTTTTATAGTCATTTTTCTCCAGGAACCCATACGCCCCACCCCTAATATTGGTTATTCGGCTCCCGAAGGTCTTGAGATCTCCATAGGGGGTGCAAAATGACCGCAATGGCCACATTATGGCAGGCGAATGATAGTTTCAGAACGATTGGGGCTTTATTTTTCGAAATAAATGGAATTTTTCGAAAGTTTTCGAAATTTTATTGAAATTTCGAAAAAAATACACCAAATTATTTTTAACGCTTATTTCAAATCTTACTCGGGAAATAACTTCAATTAACAAATATCAAGGTTAACTAACAAACAACAGATTATTGACCAACTGAAAACTTTTGGGCAAAAATTTTTATAGTCATTTTTCTCCAGGAACCCATACGCCCCACCCCTAATATTGGTTATTCGGCTCCCGAAGGTCTTGAGATCTGCATAGGGGGTGCAAAATGACCGCAATGGCCACATTATGGCAGGCGAATGATAGTTTCAGAACGATTGGAGCTTTATTTTTCGAAATAAATGGAATTTTTCGAAATTTTTCTCAATTTTATTGAAATTTCGAAAAAAAATACACCAAATTATTTTTAACGCTTATTTCAAATCTATTTAAAAACTCATCTACAAATAACAAATACAGTTAATCTAAAATGTGTATTCTCAGTAAATACCATGACAATTATTAATACACAGTTAATATTAATCAAAATTCGCTTGTTCTTCAGGTTCATCATGTCTAATGTTTGTGCAGTTCATACCATGGCATCGTCCACAAGCTGGCAAACAATTGAAGCCATATTTCCTACATGAACATCTGAAAGTCAAAAAGGCCTGTTCCACATCGACAGAACAGTTACAACATATAAGGTTCAAAATAGACTCTGGAGCAATTACAGCTTTTGTTGCAACTGGTTCGTAAGTGCCACCAGGAGCCAGTTTCCAGCCGTAGTCAAGGGGATTCAGACTGTCAGCGTTAAGCATGACCCAGTTATGGTACTGTAAGTAAGCTCTAAGGATGTGCTCCGTTGCTGAAGCTATTGTTGGAGGTAGCCTATTCGGATTGAGACTCTTTTTCGCTACCATCCTATTGTATGCTAGGAATCTCAAAGCAGAAAGAGTCTTTTTCTTGTCACCATAAATGTACTGCAAGAAACAGAGGCCTGCCTCAATAATCTTTTCTTTTGATTCTCTCACCGAAAGTAATGTTGCCAACTGACCTTGCTCATCAAAGGTGAGAGCTTTCTTTAGCACTTTAACCTTGCTAAAACCAAACAGTCCACTGACGCTATCAAAACCTGAAATACTATGAATTAGAAGAAGTATCTCCTTTTCTTTATGATCTAGA